TATACACGAATCTATGGTTCAGATATTTTCATTATAGAGATCATCTAATATGAGAAACAAATCTCAAACACAGATATTATTTGCAGAATTTCTAGACAAATATTATAGCGAATAATATTAAAGTTATTCAGTCATTAAATATGAAGTTATTTCGCCAAAAAATAAAAATAATAAAAAGTATTAAGTAAATAGAAAGGCACAAATTAAAATCCATTAATATTTTGTTTTAATATATAAAAATAAATATTCTGGAAAATTGAAATACAGAATATTTTCAAATATTCATAAAAATATACATATAATTTTGAATATAAATTATTCCCTACAAATAATCATAATAAACATAATATCACGGATTAAATATTGAATAACATTTGAATACATTTTAAACTCAATTTAAATAAAACGATAATTAATAAAAAACATATCAACCAATTATTACATAAGACTCGAAGAAAATGAATGGAAAAATATTCATTTAAATACAGTATCTAAATAAATAATTAAATAATTTATTCATAAAATAATTTTTCTATTTTGCTATCAAAATAAATTATACATTTATTAATGAGTTTATTCAATATAAATGAATGGAAAAATATTCATTTAAATACAGTATCTAAATAAATAATTAAATAATTTATTCATAAAATAATTTTTCTATTTTGCTATCAAAATAAATTATACATTTATTAATGAGTTTATTCAATAGAATGTATAAAAATACACATTTACTATATTTATCAGCATATGATAATAATGTAGTAAAATATATCTCAATAATTATTTGCATTGCGATTCAAAATAAATTATACATTTATTAATGAGTTTATTCAATAGAATGTATAAAAATACACATTTACTATATTTATCAGCATATGATAATAATGTAGTAAAATATATCTCAATAATTATTTGCATTGCGACAAAGCAATTAATAATTTCTTAAATAAATTATCAAAATTACTTTCCTATGGTTTTAACGTTTTATTTGTCCATTCATTGAATACCTAGAGTATAATGAATTGCATTATATATCCCTTCATTTATTATACTCTATATTCTGGAGAGAGAACGAGATTCCTATTAATGACTCCCTATTTTTGGTCACTAATATGCAGCCATTGATAGGGAATGGGAGAAAAATAATAATTATATTTGTATTGTATTTCAATACTGAAAGCAATAATGAGATACCCTTATATACTGTGAGTATATCTGTTGTGAAATATGTTTAGACTATCATCATAACAATAATGAAAGGCATCGAGCTATTCAAATTAATTTCACTCAACTATTATTGATTTATTTGGTTAATTCAATTAAATTGCAAATGTAATAAACACTTTAATTATTTGCTCGCAGTTTTAAATAAACAATTGTGAATGCGAAAATTAGTATATAGTATGCTAGTAAAATTTATGTAAACAATTTTAAGTTGTATTACGGAGATAAGAATTTATGAATAATTATTATTATGAACATTAATAGCAAAATATTCTTTATGGAGTATTATGTTGTATATCAGGGCAAAAATAAATTTAACTTTTAATCAGTAAATAATTTAAATATTTTACACATTTATTAAAGAAAATACAAGGGAATGGATCATAAATAACTCACACAATACACAACAAATAATATATTTTCATACAATAGATAAACTGGTAGTGAATATAATGATTTTGTATTTAAACTCACCCTTCAATGCATTTGAAACGAGACACAAAAAATATATTTTTAGTCACCAATCGATTGGTCACTCAGTTTGCGATTGATTTTCGTGTCACTTATAGTATTGTGAATCAAATAACAAGAAAATTGTTGCACAAAATCAAACTACGGAAGCAATACAGCAAATGTAATGCAAACAAAACAATTATTTTATGGTATCAATGCCGAGACTTATAATAAATATACTAATTCTTTGCATCTAGTTAGAAATCGCATACATAAATCAAATCAATAGTTTAGTACTTTAAATATATTGATATCTGTTTAATAAATGCAAATTATATATAATTATGTTTCTAGCATAATCATAATCAATTAGCAATCAACGGTAAAGTCATCGAGGTAGGTGGCATAGAGTGACAAAATGGAAAATAGTGAGAATATTCTGTAAAATGTTATTTACTATTATTTTTTGTAAACACAGACAACACATAGAGATAGTGAGAGAAGTGTTGGCAGAAGTGAAGCCACGCTTTTTCTGCTCCGACTTTATATATCGATTTGTGGCCTAAACTCCACGATATAAGCATTGAGTTTGAGAGACGGCTTAAACTCAATACAATAATAACACACTATTTGTATTGCATGAGACCAGACCTGACCCGGGGATCCGCCACTACCCACACACCATACAGTATATGATTGTACGGTACGTGTGTTTCCACGTTTGCCTTTCCATTGAGTGCTATGTGTGCTAAAGGCATGCGCTTATAGTTTAACCGATTCTCGGATCAACTCCAAGAGGTTTTCGTCCAAATACTTCTACGGTTATTGTCTTATGGCTTGTTTGAGGCCAAAATACATTTGAATGACATCTGGAGTCCATTTCATGAGATGAATGCAATTCCAATACAAGAATATTTCATAAATTCTTTTGTAAATTAATTTGATAAAAGTTTTATTCTCATTTGTTATTAAAAGTAATTTTTTCTACACCAAACATTTATGGACAATATTGTCAGGAATTAAATAATCATTTATCTAGTATTGATTTAATCTACTTTGAACTGACAGGTTTAACAACTTTATCAATTATAAGTTATCAAAGCTCTAACCATAGTTTCTTATTTATAAACGAAAAGATCATCAGTTTATTTAAGCACTTAATACATGATATTTGAATAATATCTCAATTTAGTTTATATCTTTTTATTTTATTGTACTCATTATTGCATAACTTTACATGAATTAACAAGTTTAATCATGTAAATGTTTAATTGGATTATTCAGATTAACTCGTATATCGATTGTAACATAAATTATAAACATAACTTGGAATATAAAACTAAATTCATGTAAACATAAAATATTACAAGAATATTCAATTAAATTGAAACCAACATACACTATTCAGTTTATATGACATATAACAAGAATAAATATAATAATATAAAATTGACGAAATAAAATTAATAATTAAAATGATTATATTGATATAGTATAACTTTAATCTATTTGACTATTGAAAAGATGCTTGAAAGTGGATTTATTATGAATTAAATATATGAAGTTTATATAATATATATACAGGTAGTACAGCATTCAATATATTTGCGAAATCGGGAAAGTATGTGAATATTCTTGATTATATGCTTTGCACTTCATTTCCAGTTCATTGCAAATCCAATGCCCGTAACAAATAATGAATGAATGAATGACTAATTTAATGCAAACATTCATTTATTGCTGTCTTAATGTTCAGGCACTACAGAATTGTATAACAAAAATAAAATCCTAAACTATTATTCCTATCTTATAAAAAAAATTGTTATATTTATTAGGTTTTGTATCACAGTTATTGCTATGATATTATATTAAAAATTAAAAATAGTTTTATATCGTTGTATCAAACGTTAAAAACTCTTTCTAAAACCATTATTTGAATTTGAAAATGTGATATAAAAATCTATTATAAGATTTTTATGTATCCTTTTATTCACTTAGTTTTCGGTGGTTTCCATTAAATGACAATTGAATTCATAGCTTTCATTCATTACACTCTTTCATACAATACATGCATATTGTTTGGTTACTTAGCAATCGGTGTTATTTATGCAAAATTTTGTTAATACACAAAAAATACAAACAATCTTTAGCTTTAAGAGTAAAGGTATATAACTGGGCAAAAAACTTTTCCCTCTCCTTTATTATACGTATAATAAGTTTTGTCAAATGAAAATAGCAATCGACCCGAAAGATTGAAATCATTTAAAATAAAAGTCAATGTTTTCTCTCATTCGCCGTCAATATAGAGGCTCTCTCTTAGGCTTTATTTGCTGAGGAAATCGATTTAATTCTCGTATTTTGTTGTCAATTACACAACAAGTAAGCAAAGGAAAGAAAAAATTATATTTAATTTTAGAGTTTGTTATGTTTTGCCACTAATATATGGATATAATTTAAGTGTAAAACAAAACAAGTGTCAATCGACTGCTGAGAGCTCGCTATTCAATGTAAGAAGGCTTTTAGATAAGTCTCTCTCTCTCTCTCTCTCTCTCTCTCTCTCTCTCTCCATTCCCTTTACTTCCCACACTTTTTCACATTTAATTGAATTTTTACTGTTTATTGTTTCTCGTTATATGCTGTATATTTCATTCATCTCTAAAATTATTGATTTATTTTAATAGCAAATGCAAGAAAACGATTTGTGAATTCATTTTACAACAACTTATACTTATATTAGGTATGCGTTGTATTATGAAAGTATAAATGAGCAAAACGTATAAATATATACGTGTTTAATATAATAACAATAATCTGTTAAAAATATCAATAATATAAAAATCTAGTGTTTCTGTCGTCTCGTCTCACATCTCGACACAAATATATTGTGGAAAGTGATAGCATTTGAAAGAGTTGTGATCCCTTTCCACAGTTGTTCACCAGTGGTGCTCCAAAAAAGATGTGCTGTTCCTGCTCTACCTGTGCCTGTTGTACAGTATTCCTGGCGTCCCTACTGTTGGCAACGGTAATCATTAATTATAATTGGGGAGAAAGTCTGCAAAACTATTTTAGAGATGTTATCGATAATATAGAAGAGAAAATGAAAATTTAGACCAAACTTTTGCTTTTGCTTTAAAATCATGAAAATGTAACACCATTCAATTATGTTTTATTGATAATATGAACCAATATTTATATCTCAATTAATAATATGGATTCTTGTATATAAACCACACTTTTGTATATATTTTTGCCATATATAAGGTTTGAATACAAATATATATTATATATTTATTCATATTATCGACATTATTATTATAATTATTATTTATATTTTATGTTTGTTTTGTTGCTTTAAAATAAATAATTCTAAAATTTCATACAAAAATATTTACAAAACTTATTTCCAATGCAATAGATATTTACCGCAGGCTATTGGGTCGTAAAGAATCATCAAATCGAGAAATTTGTTTCACGAGATTTTAGGAAAAAGTTTTTCTCAATGTTTAACTTTTTAGGCACTTATGCCCGGATCTACATCAAGAGGTCTATGCAAAGGGATAGGGAACGGATGAAAATGCACCAGAATTACGGACTCAATGGGAACAGACCTCCGGTTAGAGTCAGTCAATGTTTAACTTTTTAGGCACTTATGCCCGGATCTACATCAAGAGGTCTATGCAAAGGGATAGGGAACGGATGAAAATGCACCAGAATTACGGACTCAATGGGAACAGACCTCCGGTTAGAGTCAGACCACAGAACCAATGGTATGCCAATGGATGAACACATCATTAGATTTCAAAAAACATACGTTTTGTTAGATTTTATTAGATTTTTAAATTTAAAATTTTTATTATTTTATGTTTAAAAGACTTTTTGTCACGACATTACATGTCATTTATGTTAAATTTGTTATTAATGTATTTTATAGTATTAGACAATTTGCTTAAACAACGCTTAATCTAATGATCATAAACTGTCAAAACATTTGAGAACAAGTTTTCCTAAGAGCTTAAGAATTAATTTATTCAAATTTTTATCCAGATTATTATTATTTGACAAAACATAATTTTGTTTGTAACAGAATTTTACATTTTCTAAATTCGAGCTTAAATATTCAAATTATATGTCTACTTTATAATTTGTTATTTAAAAAATATTTAACATTTTTGTCAATAATTAGTTTAAAATGCTATAAATAGAAACATTTTTTCATAACTTTGATTCTTTATAATCTATTAGCTCATATTATTATCCATTTATAATGCAACTTTTTTTATTAAGCATACTTTGTATTCTGTATTGTTATTTTGCAATTTAAATAATTTTTATTGAAATACGAATCATTTTCAGGTATATCATAAAATCTTGTCATTTATGCTCTTTTATAATATTTTTTACTTTTATACGTAATATTTAACACAAGACTGAGACAAACCATACTTGTCACTTTTAATTGCATTATTTTGTATTAAAATTTGTATTTTTATTATTCATATTAGTTAATCACAGTTATACAGTACCTAGGCATGAATTGGAGATATAGCTAGATTAAAACAAATGTATTTCAAAACTCAAAAGTAAAATATATTATTACAACCAAACGGTATGGTTTGGATTAGTCTCATAAGAATATTATTTCATTTTTAATGTATAATTTACTTATTAATTGTAAATGTAACTTTTTTTATTACTAACAAGTAAGATTTTTTGTAGAAATATCTAAGATAAATTACTTTGAATAAAATATTTAAAAAGTGAGTTGAAGTTTATTTTAAACATAATCAAACTTATGTTTATTCTTTATATACAAAATGCTATACTTATGTAAAATTCTTTACATTATTTTGCGTTGAAATTAACATAAAATAATTTTAATGAAATTGAATGAACCAAACGAAATGTTGGCTTAAGTTAGGGATTAAGTGTTGATGAATGGAATTGTGAGGGATTAGGGAAAGCCATTCATTGTTGGATTTAAGCCCTAAACTAATCAAACGATGACATCAACTGAACATAATTGAGAATATTGTATTGTTTCATTGACTCAAATATGCCATAAATTAATAAAATAACTTTTGTTTAAATTACTTTTTCCTAAACAACATGGTAATGAGTAATTTATATTTTAATATTATTATTAATACTGTATAAAACTAAATTTATAATAATTATATTAAGTAATGTAATTTTATCTAATAATATCATTTATTGAATGACAGGTATAAATATAATTTCAACAGTCAATTTGCATATATTTTGCAATATTTCATTGATTTTATTATATGCTATCAATGGGTTCAATGAACTGATAGAAAACGTTTGTTATTTGTTTGGTTATAATTTCATCAGAATATGAAATATAGAGTCATTTATCAATTTAGCTAAATGTAGGTAAACGTCAAAATAAATTTCAGGAAATTCAATAATCTTACAAACAAATTATATACAAAAATGACTTTAAAAATACAATAATGAGTTTAATAAAACTTACAATGAATATAAAACTAAAATTATTTATATAAATAAAATACTGTTAAATATAAGACAGGTTGACAAATTTAATGATTAATAAATAATACATTGATATTTGTTACATTGTATTTATAGAGACCCAAAACTAGAATTGTATGCCCAATACAATAGCTTTCCAAATGGTGTTTTTAATCATTTATTAGAAACACTGTTTAAATGATCGATGAAAGTAGTTTCATTAAAGTCCAACAATTGTGTTCAATGTTTAATCACATCCCGTTTGATATGTTTGTGCAGAATATTCCCATACTTTGTATATAACGCCCACACCTTTCGAGAAAATATTGATCGATGAAAGTTTCATTAAAGTCCAACAATTGTGTTCAATGTTTAATCACATCCCGTTTGATATGTTTGTGCAGAATATTCCCATACTTTGTATATAACGCCCACACCTTTCGAGAAAATAAGAATATTCTTGTGAAGAATTGCTAAGAAAAGTAACTTTAAAGGTGTTATTAAATGTGTTGAATGAATGCAAATACTTCCTGACTTTGTATCGATTGAACACAACATTCATGAATAAAGGCTTAAATTCTTTACATAAAAAAGTATTTTTAAATTTTTTATTTTTATATATTTCCGCAAATAATAGAGACTTGCGATAAAATTCTTTGAATACTGAATAACTTATATCATATAAAATTTACATTTAAAATTGATATTTTTTCGTATAATATCTATAACACTAAAAGCATTTTATACTGTACTGTAAATGACAAAAACTAAATTAATGCGAAATGCGATTCATTAATTTATTGCACACAATTTGTTGATTATTAACACATTATTATCGGTTTAATTGCAAAATATACTTACACTAAAAGTTTTAACATGACAAAATCGATAATTACTGTTATTACATTTTTATGATATTCTGTCAAAAGAAATATTAATATGTTTTTATTAAATCGTGTTTTAATGGTATGCTATTAAAGGTAAAGAATTTAATATTTCCGCACAAATTCTGGTTTAAAGCCTTTTTATATTTTAATATTCGACTCATACACAGGGCTGCCACCCGTCCTCCTTTTGGAGGATTGTCCTCCAATCGGCCCTCAGATACAGTCCTCCCACAGATATTTGCTAAAATAATTCATATAATAATTTGATTTTTAGTTAAATTTGTAAATATAATTAATATTACTTTTGACGTGAATACAAAATATTTATATAAACCGTGAAATGATTGTTCGGAGTACAATAGCAAGTGTTTTTAACATTAAAACAATAGTTTCTCTTATTATTATGAGTACAGGAGACAAAATTATAAATAAATATTTGTTGTCCTCCCAATGTCTTCCTGTCCTCAATTTTGGCAATTAGTCCTCCCAGGCTCTGAAAATTTGTGGCAGCCCTACTCATACATATGTTTCTCTAGGAATAGATTTTATTAATCTAATATGAAAAATAAAACTTACAAAACATTAAATTTTTGTTTTGTTTTGTCTGGAAATAATTTCATGATATCATATTTAATGATAACAAATTTTATTAAATAAGTTAACTAGAATAGTATTTAATATAAATCCCATACAATAAGACTAATCAAATTATTTTTCTAATAATTAGAAGCAAATAAAATTTGTTTAGTTAAACTAATAGCTTATTGATAATTGATGCTGTATCCAAAAAATTATAGTTTATAGTTATAGTATATTTATAGTTAATGCAAACACTGTAATTGCTTATTATATGCTTGAAAAGTATATGGGTTTCAATTTTAAACTTCTTATTTTTGTATGCATTGAATGTACAAAATATTTTGAATTGAATGAATTTTTTAACTCTTAAAGATACAAAGACTGTAAAGATAACAATTTAGAAATATAAGTTTATTACTAAAAAAACGTTTGTTTACTTTTTTTGTTTTAGGTTTTTAGTTATACATAAATATAAACCGTAAGATACCCATATTATGCTAGATTTAAAAATAACAGAATTTCCTTCAAAATTTATCCTTAAAAAGTTTTTAAGTATTAATAAGGATTCTTGGAAACAGTAAGTTCAAATAAGTACAAAACAATTTACTTGTTTCAATAATCGATAAATTATGAAACAATTTTTAGGTAAACTATTGATTTATTTGTTGACATTCTTGCTTTTACCTGTAATTATGTATTGATTTGGGGGTAAATTTCTTTTTAATTATCTCTATGATAACCACTAACCGAATGTCAACTCAAACCTAATGTATGGTAGAGTTGATATTAACTCAAAGTTTTATATATGAAAAATTGATGTGAACCTAGAAATATGGTCTAACATGAAATATAAAAGTCGATACCACAGTAGCGGTAAAGTAGTCGATCTCTAATACAGTTATACATTTAGTTTTGTGTTTAACACAAGTAATACAACATACTTTTCACTTCTATTGATTGGTATAATGAATAACATTAATGGTATTAAATATATGCCGTTTTCGTTACACAACAACAAACTAGGCATAAATCTGTAAATTTATTTTCAATTGATTTTAATAGTCGTTTGCGTAATGAAATCAAATGACGGCTAACCTATTAGCAGAATATTCTTGAGTTTTTTAAAAACTTAATTTTGAGTATTATTTGTGAATTTATCGTCGAAAATGAGAAAATTTTGCGGAAGTCTGCTCTCATTTCTTGTGGTTATCTCCATATCCTTTGCAGCCGTAAGTAATCACCAAAATATTGAATACTTGATTAAATCATATTAATTACAATATATTCAGTATATATTGAGTAATATGTTCAGTATATTGTGATCAATTTAATATTATAATTGTACAAATATTATTAAAAAGTTACTATAAATTGAAAGATTATCTGATTATTAGGCGATAGCTGTGACGGCAATCATATCCAACCTAATGAACAAAGCGTCGACCAAAGAGGCAAACATAGACTCCGACCCCCGGCCCCGGCTTTTCTCCATACTTAACATGTTTGCCGTTTGCATGAAAAGGCTATT